TGAGTAAATAATGGCTGATCTTTATTTTAGGTGAACTATTCCCTTACACCAAGTGCGAGAGCTGTTCTAAAAATGAGAAAAACTCTTTTTCGTGACCCATTTTTTTCCAACCAGCAGCCCTGAGAGAAAATTGAGAGGCGATGCTCAACAATCCATGAAACCGAACAGACACAATGTGAGAAGAAAGAGTGGAATAAAAAGCCACAGAGCATGACGGCTCAGGGACAAATGCAGGAAGAGACGGGAACAGTCCTGCATTATTCAGCTCGTATGCCACTTTCCCTGGTCCTTGCCACTGACAACAGGAACTGAAGGAGGTAGGTGTGTGTGTGTGTGTGTGTGTGTGTGTGTGAACAACTACACACCAGCTTCACTCCAAGCATTTTATCATGCATTGCATAATGCAATTCAAAATTATATTATATAATGCATTTCAAATATATTTTTTTCTTAATGCAGTAGAATGCATTCAGTCTGCCCAACACTATACAATCAGTTGAATATTACACATTATAATACTTCCTAATGATCAGTGTTGGGGAGCATTACTTTTAAAAGTAATGCTTTACAATATTGCGTTACTCCCTAGAAAAGTAACTAATTACACTGCAAAAAATGCTTTTCTAGCTTAGATTTTTTGTCTTGTTTCCAGCCAAAATATCTAAACATTCTTAAATCAAGAAGGATTTTCTAGACAAGTAAAAATTATTGTCTTGTTTTCAGAAAAAACAAGTAAAAATTAAGTGAGTTTTTGCTTGAAACCAGCAAAATAATCTGCCAATGGGGTAAGCAAAATAATATTGTTTTCTGTTTGAAATAAGATTATTTTGCTTACCCCATTGGCAGATTATTTTGCTGGTTTCAAGCAAAAACTCACTTAAATTCAACTTGTTTTTTCTGAAAACAAGACAATAATTTTTACTTCTTGATTTAAGAATTTTTAGATATTTTGGCTGGAAACAAGACAAAAGATCTAAGCTAGAAAAGCATTTTTTTGCAGTGTACGTTACGTTACTTTTGAAATCTGGGCAGGTCTTGCTTGTTTGCTTTTTAACACAAAAAGTTATATTTTTAGCAAATGAGATTTTGACCAAAAAGTGAAAGGAATAAGCCTCAGGCTGAAGGAAAAGTAAAGTCATGTCTGTATAGTAGAGCACAAGAGAAGACAGTTCAACACACGTTAGCAATTTAAAAAAAAAATCAATGAAGCACAAATGTTAATTTATCTAAAGCCATTTTTGCTTATTCATTTGGTTGAACTGGATCATCAAAGGTTAACAGCAAAGACACTGGTTAATGAAATTTGTGTTATTTAACATATTTCATTATTGCAGGTTTGCATCATACTCTGAATTTGCTTTTCACTGTTTTAATTAATTTTGATGAATACTGAACTTTTTTTTGTGTGAGTCAGATGAATTAATGCACGTTCACATTTAGTCTAGAACTACAGTAACATCATGTTCACACAGCGCGCACAACTCCTCTGCACTTCTGAATTCTCTCAGCATGGGGACAGGAGAGCAGTCAGTCAATAAATGGGAAAACAAAGTAACTGACATTACTTATTTGAAAAAGTAACTCCGATATTTTCTTGTAAATTCAAAAGTAATGCGTTACTTTACTAGTCACTTGAAAAAAGTGATCTGATTACTTGTAATGCATTACCACCAACTCTGCTAATGATAGGAATATTTCACTCAAAATGAACATTTGCAGAAAATTTACTCACTCTCAGGCCATGAGTTTGTAGATGAGTTTGTTTCTTCATCAAATTTAGTGAAATGTAGCATTCCATCACTTGCTCAGCAATGGATGCTCTGCAGTGCATGGGTGCCGTCAGAATGAGAGTCCAAACAGTTGATAAAAACATCACAATAATCCACACCACTCCATCAGTTAACATCTGGAGAAGACAAAAGCTGCATGTTTGTAAGAAACAAATCCATCAGTACGACACTTTAACTTCAAATTTTTGCTTCTGGCTAAAATGCGAGTCCATAATCCATAATAACACTTCCTCCAGTGAAAAAGTCCATCTCCTGTCGTCTCTCACATCAAAATCCACACACGTTTTAGAGCTGTTTTAGACTGTTTTGGCTTGTAAACGGTGCTTGATCTGTGCAGATTTCTCTCCTGATTCAGACCAGAACACTTTTTCACTGGAGGAAGCAATATTTTGTATACAGAACTCTTATTTTAGCATTATTTTTGTTTCTTTTGTCTTCTCCAGATGTTAACTGATGGACTGGAGTGGTGTGGATTACTTGTGATGTTTTTATCAGCTGTTTGGACTCTCATTCTGACGGCACCCATTCACTGCAGAGCATCCATTGCTGAGCAAGTGATGCAATGCTACATTTCTCCAAATCTGAAGAAGAAACAAACTCATCTTGGATGGCCTGAGAACTTTCAGCAAATTTTCATTTTTGGCTGAACTATTCCTTTGAATGAAAACTGTCATTATTTACAGACTGATTCATGTGCCATATCTAATAATCATCCCAAAACAGCTGTGAAACTGACTTTTTATTGCTAATATTTTCCCTTATGTCTGTCCATGTTGTTGTTATTACCGTGAGCGATTCACACAAACTTCAAAGTGGGAAAATTGAACATTTATGTCACAGACTGATATCCAGAGAGGAGTCAAAAGAAACGTGTTTAACATGCAGCACAACAAATTAAAGGATTTATCTCTGCTTCTGCAGCTAAATCATGAAAAAACACTTTCTTTTGTGCATATTTTACTTATAATAATTTGCAAGCTTTGGGCCTGCAGGTTGTGTATTTGCTCTGTTATATTATTCCTTAATGACGCGTTATGAATCAGTATAACACAGGACGTGTGTTCAGAATCCATAAATAACATTTTTAGAGCCAGGAAGAATAATTTAGTAAACTTATCAAATATAATTGATCCAGACTGTTTCCCGTAATTGTGATGAACAAACGAGGGGAACATTGATCAGCCCTGAGTGGAAATCAAAACTATTCACAAAAGTGCAATTAACATAACTAATATCAGCTCAGAGCTGAAGTTGATCTAATGATTGTATGTGGCAATACATTTACAGAACATTATGAAAGGTAGCATAATGAAACCCTGCCATTAATTTAGCTGGACTAATTACTGGAAACGCGCTTATCCTGCTGATGGACCTCATCAATTACAGTGTAATCAACCTCCTGTGAGCAGATATCAGCGCTGTTTACGCCGTCACACACCTCTGATCTCACACTGCGCTCATTAACTCAACCTGTGTGACTTCAGGAGCTGAGAACACTCACATTTATTACTCTAGCTTTCATAAAAACTTCATTTAATGCAGTTTATGTCTTCCGTTTTTAAATTCATGTTACTCATCTTATTAGGAATGATTCGTCACTGCACACTATTCAATGGAATAATGGTCTTAAAATAAAAATGAAGTTACTAAAGTAAAGAAAAATAAATATAATAAAATAAAGAAATATTGGATAACCTGTTTCACTAAAAAATGCATCAAAATATATTACTAATATATATTTAATAAATTAATATATTATTACTATTAGAAATAATAATAATAAAAATTATATATAATGTATATGTATGTAATGTATAATATTAATAATAAAATTAAGTAAATAAAAAAAAAAAAAAATCTTATTAGATAACCTGTTTATCCCGTAAAAGCATCAACATATAATATATATATTAGATAATATAATAACACCTTTTATATATATTATATATTTGAAAAATAGCTAAATTGGATAAGCTGTTACAGTTTAGTTTAAAAATGTAATTTAATGCTGTTTTTATGTCACTAAATTTCAAAATCAACCCTTTTACTTGCTAAATCCATGTTATGGCTTTTCTTATTTTGAACGATTCATCAGTGCGCACTATTCAATGGAATAACAATTGTCTTAAAATATAATAAGACATAAAATAATAATAAAATTTTTTAGAACCGTAATATATAATTACATAATAAAATAAAATGTATATAATTGGATAAGCTGCTTCACTCAGAAATGCGTCAGATTACTGAAGGTAAATGGTTAACATTGCCATCTCAGGCTAATTTCGACAGGAAAGAGGAGAAATACAGGAAGGTGTGCGGTAAGGACAGAAACGTACTTCATGCATGCACATACTGTATAAATGTAAATATGCTCATGTTATTTCTGGTAACAAACTTCAGCACTCAGTACGGCTTCACTGAATGTCTGAGACTGAACTGCATGAAGACAACTTCCCTTGACAGCAGTCGACCTGAAAGAGAAAAAACACATATAGGAGAGAGCAGTTTATGGTTTGCTCTGTTAAAGAGCTCTCAAGAGGAAAAGCTCTGAATGCAGTATAATATGAAATGCAACGACTAACAGAATTGACCTTGCGCAGCTGTTTCAGGCCAGAGAGATTCACTGTATCGAGCCGTTCGGTCGATCTGGAGGGTAACGCTGATGATGCTTCAGTCTGAGCTGAAACTGACGTTCAGCTGCAGATCCTAGAGACTCATAAAAACTCATCTTAAAGCTGCAGTGTGCAGTTTTTGGATGTAAAAAAAAAATACAGCCAGATTAATATGCAGACAACATAATTATAACCAAGGAAAGTGGAACACTGTGACACCTTCAAAACATTGATCTGTTTGTTTGAGAATCACATTGATTCAACCAATAATGTGAGTTTGGGGTGGGACTATATATGTTTGCCTGACCAATGGCAGGATGTTTAGGGAAACCTGTTTGAAAACAGTCATTGTGTTTGCAATTCCATTTGATGACACAGAAAATAAGGAGTGTTTTGTGGTCACAAAGCAACCAAAAGTCATTGACTAGACAATGAGTAACAGTGACCACTAGTTATGTGATATGGGTGTGTTTAGCATGTTATAAAGTTGACAAAATTCATTTTATTAATTGCTTATTTTCATTTAGTTTTCCTTGTTTAATTTAACGGAAAAAACTGAAGTCATTGCATTTGGAAACAATATTTCTACTAAAACAATATAAAAATGGGGACTTTGAGAACATTTTTGAGCGAAGATGCAAATGCATCTTTGTTTCAGAGTATCGATTCATCTGAACTTAAATCAAACTTAAATGCTGCTTTTGATGCTGGAGAAGAATCATGAAACTAGTCTGATGATGCAATACTTAACGAACAAATTAAAATAATTGCATGATTCATGATCTCCAGCATTTTTGCGAGATAATGCAAATCTGTTTTAGAGTTCGGATTCATGGAGGTTAATTCAACTTAAATGCTGTAGAAGAATCATGAAACTAGTCTGACGACATTTCTTCGGAAGCATAATGAACCAATTCAAAAAGTGCATTAAAATAATCATGCGATTCACAATCTCCAGCATTTCTGAATGATGATTCAAATACATCTTTAGAGTTTAAATGGACATGGAAATGAATCACACTCACGTGCTAGTTTAGTTTACACTGCAGAGCAATCATGAAACCTGTCTGATGATGCAATCTTTAGGAAACCTAATGAACAAATGAAAACAGCACATTCATTTTTAGCATTTCTGATTGATGACACAAATGCATCTTTGCTTTTTAGAGTCTTGAATCCATTCATTGAAATGGACAGTTTGAAGTGATTCATGTTTTCGATACTGAAGAATCATTATGAAACTAGTCTGATGGATGATGAAACTTAATGAGCAAATTTAAAAAGCACATTCAAATAATTATGTGATTCACAATCGTCAGCATTGTTGAGTGATGATGCTAATCTTTGCTTTAGAGTTATGAATCCATTCACTGAAATGGACAGTTTAAAGAAATTCAAACTTAAATGCTGTTTTTGACACTGACGAAGAATTGTGAAACTATTCTAACTCAATCTTTAGGAAACTTAATGGACAAATTAAAAAAGTGCTTTCCAATAACGGTGTAATTCATAATCTTGAAAAAATGCTTTTTGGTTTGCTTTTTTGTTTTTGAATCGATTCATTGAAACAGTTTGAGGTGAGTTACAGAAGTGAATGCAATTGAAACGTTGCTTTTGATACTGAAGAATCATCATGAAGCTAATGAAACTTAACGGACAAATTAAAAAGCGCATTCAAATAATTCACAATCGTTAGGATTTCTGAAGGAAAATTGCAAATGCATCTTTGCTTTAGGGGTCTGAAGCGATTCATTAAAGAACGCAGTTTGAAATGAATCAAACATAAATCCTGTTTTTGATACTGAGGAACCACCATGAAACTAGTCTAAGAAAGCACATTAAAATAATTGCGTGCATTGCAAAAATATAATGAATATGCAATATATAATCGCCCAGCCCTAGTGGCCATCCGGTGTCAGTGCAAGTGTGTTTTTCCGCTCTGGTGATGCAGGTCTTTGAAACATTGCATGTCGTGCACAACACCGAGGCTCGCAATGCAGCTGAAGCATAAAAAAAATACCAGTTTAAGTTTAAAATCACGTAAAACAATCCTGCCCTGCCAATGACATCATTCAACTTCTTGTTCAAACCAAAGGATTCTGTACAACACATTTCACAAAGGATCCTTTAGTCGGGTTTGTAAATACCTCAGTCCTCGAAATAATAAAAAAATCATAGCACAAAATTGGACTCGAAACTAGATAGAACAAAATATCACGGGCTGGGAAATAAAAAAGACTGCAAACGCTTTGGCAGAAGAGACGGGAAAGGAACACACAATGAAAGAATGAAAGAAAAGATCAATTACAGGTGAGGCGTGAAGAAAAGTGGTTTTCTCTTTCGCTCAGCATGGCCCGCCATCGTACGGCACTCCTCCCACAGATTCGGGGCTGCAAGTTATTCGTTTATTCCTCACGGAGGAAAGAAGCAAAGAAAAAAAGGTGCTCTTCTCATGAAAGTCACGTTTCACTGATTGTCCACGGAAAATTGCGCCGGCTTCCGCCCGCCGAGGAGAGCGGGAAGCCTCGGCTCAGAGATATACAATCACAGCGTATATGTATATATATATGAAGAGATCCTTTACAGGAAAGGAGCTGAGAATCCATGTCAGGACCCGTGAGGTTGAATCCGTGTGTGTGTGTGATGGTAAATACTACTCCAGGTTGGTCTGTCCATGGTCTTGTGTGGCACTGTGCTCCTGCAGGCATCTCTTGTGTATAACGGGCAGCGGATGAGCCTCCGTGTTAAACACCCAGTCCTCCAGCGGCAGCAGATCATCGTCCGAGAACAGCAGGTACAGGTATCTGTGATCACATACAGACGGGGTTAACAATGTGTCAAGATACCACCATCAAAGCACAGCATTAACACTAACATCAAGGCAATGCAAGTCTGCTTTCGTATGCTTCCAACATCACAAAAGTACTTTTCTGTACAACTGAAGTGAACGTGAACAGATGCTGTCAAGCTCCAAAAAATACATAAAAAGCACCATAAAAGCACCATTTTGTCAATAAACGGTTCCATTAAATAACATACTGTGGCTGTTATTTCATGTCAAGGTTAAACTTTATTTTGACATAAAATAATAGTCAGACAAATATATATTTGCAAGTGCATTTTTTTGTTGAGTATGATATTTATACGTCAGGATTTTATGGCTCATATAGTATGATATAGTGAGAAGATGGAGGAAAAAACAGCTCAATTTTTTCAGGGTTATTATAAGTAACTAAAACGGAAACTAAAATTAAAATATAAAAACTAAATTGAAATAAACATTAACTAAAATAAAATAGAAAAAAACTTTTAAATCTAGTTGCAAGGGCAATATTTGTCATTTTAATTTAAAAACTTGATAGATAAACTAAAACTGAAATAAACATTTATTAAAAAATATAAACATTTATAAAAAATAAACTACTTAAAATTACAAACTCAAACAACAAAATGACTAAAACTTTAACTAAAATTAAAACGAAAATGCAAAATATATACTTTGCAAAATATTATATATTCTCAATGATACTAAAATAACACTGAATTTTATTTAGAGGCCCAAACTGAGCAAAAACATGCAATTTGGTGCAGATGCTGATATTCATATTCACAAGTATATTCATACATATGAATACATATTCATATTCAAAGTAAGATGAAATTGTGATGCTTGTAATGTAAATCAATGAGATCTTTATAACAGTACAGCGGATACTGACATACAATTATCTGTCGTCACTCTATATCTCCAATAAGTGAGATGATATTTAAAGGGTTCATATGACGTTGCTAAAAAGAACATTATTTTGTGTATTTGGTGTAATGAAATGTGTTTATGCGGTTTAAGGTTAAAAAAACACATTATTTTCCACATACTGTACATTATTGTTTCTCCTCTATGCCCCGCCTTTCTGAAACGCGTCGATTTTACAAAGCTCATCGGTCTGAAAAAGCGAGGTGTGCTCTGATTGGCCAGCTATCCAGTGCGTTATGATTGGCCGAATTCCTCAAGCGTGTGACGGAAATGTTACATCCCTTACAATATTGGTATGCCTGCAGCAACCACATGTGACGACCCCAGGCTGGACTCCGCTTCGTCCACGGTGAAAGCTGATCCGGCGATCCACAGCGCGAAGTTGAGTATTTACTCAGCAACCAGCACGGATCAGTTCCAGACATGACGAAGTGGATATCATCCTCTTTTGGAAGACCAAAAAAAGTAGTTTCGCTTTCACAACGAATCACACAGCGCCTTCACGACATGGCGGCGGCAGCAACAATACTACAGCGAGAATAAAAGTTACGCCTTCTTTCTTTGCGTGAACATTTGGGTGGCGTTATGCAAATCTTCCCACATAGTGAGGTAGACATGTGGGGGCGTGTTAAAACGAGCCGTTTTAGGTAGGCGTGGCTGACTCTTAACTTTTATAAAGAATATCTCTTTGGATTTGAGACTTTAGTCTTTGCAACTTTACAGATCTTCTTTATGCACCAAGAGCTTGTAACACTCCAAAGAGAAAGAAAAAATTGAAATTGCATCATATGACCCCTTTAAATGATCCCAACATATAATGCAGTGCAATCCGATGCTGATTGAGAGCTGAAGAAATAAAGGCTCCTCCTCAGATGTGAGATGTTCTGGAGGCTTGTGAAGATCATTCCTCCGCTGAGGAACAGTGAAAGTAAAGCTTCTGGAAACAAACGCTCCTCAAAAGATCCTGAGGATCAGATTTGAGACGCACTGATTTCTCTAAAAGAGAATCAAGTAAAGCCGAGCTGCTTCAGTCCAGTAAGTGTCCATCTGGAAATATTACTACAGTTATTCTCACGTTTATTTGAGAAAAATCTGTCAAGATTTGACGGCAAAAAGACACGTGAAGCACCAGCTGAAGCTGGACGGTTGTACAATTATACTAAAAGATATTTTGATAAAAAAGTCTAAACTATCAATCAGACAACAGAAGGCATGCAGTAGATGACAGGTTTAACAGCAAAGTTTTGATCATTTAAAAGCCTTAGAAATTTGTGCATCAAATATGATACAGTAGGCTTGATAGGGTTAAATTAAGTCAATAGTTCAGAAGACATGAAATGCAGCGCAAAAGTCATATGTTGTGAGGTTTTTGTGCTTTTTGGACCCAAAATTAAAAACACCATTACAGTAAAAAAATGATCTATTTATTTTATCTTGCTTTGATTGGTTCTGCATTATTTGCATTTGTCCATTTTAGTCATAGTCTTTTGACTAAAATGCCATTTAGTTTTAGTTATATATCTATTTATTTTATCTTGCTTTGATTGGTTCTGCATTATTTGCATTTGTCCACATCTAGTGCAGAACGCTACTGTTATTAATTCTTAAATCTATGAAACTAGTCTGATTGAGGACAGTGTAGGAGCAGGAACTTAAGGGTGATACTGACCAGTGTTAATTTTGACAGCAAATTTTGATTTAATTTTAGTCATAGTCTTTTGACTAAAATGCCATTTAGTTTTAGTTATATTTTAGTCACCTGAACTGTTTTTAGTTTTAGTCGACTAAATATCATAAGATTTTAGTCGACTAAATCTACCATAAATTTAGTCGGCTAAAATCTAATGGGTTTAGTTACAGTGTAATGAGTTTATTAAGCATTTCTCCAAAATTTCCAAACTCATTATATAGGTTTGATATTAAGGTTTTATCATGATAGACACCGATTTAACTGCGGTGACACACAACATGCCTTTATGTTAAAATGAAATAAAACCACTTCTCATAAAGAACAAGAACATGGTCTTCTTTTTAATGAAATACCAATGGTTCTATCAGCTAATTATGCATTCTTTATAGCAACTTGTTTACCATATTCTTGATTCTTTCAAGCAGACATATTTATTTCTGTAAATAAATTTAGATTAATCTTTAGGGCTACTAAAGTTTTTCAGTCAAGAGCAGTGACAGTACTGATACACGTTCTCCCTGCTGTTTACGTTCACTTAAGACGTAATCAACTGTGTTTACGTGAATACTCGTCAAAACGGACAACTCGACATCATTTTGTGTGTAATTCTCTGTTCATGCGACGTGAAAGAGTAGCCTACTCGCGTGCTGTGAGACGCATTTCTGTGTGTGTGTATGCTTCGGTGTCTGCGCTCAGAAAACCGGACCGGAAAATGTCAATATATTTTCGTCAGTTTTTGTCATTCAAAAAGAGTTTTAGTTTGTTATCGTCAGAGAAAACAATTTTGTTGATGAACATTATGACGAAAATTATTCGTCAACGAAATTAACACTGATACTGAACTTACTTGAGCGTCTCGGACAAGAAGAAGCTCTGCTGCATGTTGTCGTGACTGACTGTGGAGGCGTACACGTCTCTGATTCCTGAGAAACCTGCGTCTACACGACAGTGCTTCTCCAACGCCTGTGAACACAAACCGCTTGAGCTGGACCATTCAATCACAATCTTTAGAATATGCCAAGAAACAATATAGGTCATGTGACATTTCCTTATACACGACCAGTAATCTTACATCAGTAGTTCTCAACAGCAAAGTTATTACAGATAATAAAAAGCAACTAATTATATAATTTAATAACATTTTATGCATACAGACAATTTTATCCAAAGCAATACTGCATTCATACTTTTATTCATTAAGAGACTAGAGTAAAGACGCTGAAAATTCAGCTGCGCATAACAGAAATAAATTACATTTGAACAGATATTCACATTGAAAACAGCTATTTTAAATGGTAATAATATTTCACATTTTTACTGTATTTTTGATCAAATAAATGCAGCCTTAGTGAGCAGAAGAGACCTCTTCGCTACAGTTTCTTGCTGGCAGAAGATACGAGCGATTTGTGAGACATCCTTTAAAACAGCGCTGCTATTTCTGTCACTTTAAAGTTGGCTAGAAGATTTAGCGCTAAATTTGAGCGCTGAATAAAAGAAGAGCTGACATGGCAAACTAATGATCTATTAACCTCAAACAAAGGTAGACACCTAGACTATAATTAGGACTGTCTCGTGAGTTTGGTTTGGAGATGAATTTTACAAATCCATTTGCGTTCTCCTCGACCTCCTGCAGCCAGTAATTAACATGTCAGTCTGTCGTCGGAGCACCGCACTTTAACATCGGCTTTATTAATATAACAGCCACAGCCGAGCATTCATTTACCAGAGATAATGTGAGGAAGAGCCGTGAAATACACCACAGATCCTCAACCTCGCACTGATTCATCACATATACTGCAGAAATATATCTATCGATCTATCAATTGACATTAAATGTTGAAATACACATGCACCTCCACGGCCTCCCAGCCCCACTCCCTGTATTTGGGGTCGTGGGTCAAACGCCACATGTACATGTAGCTCTCGATGACCTCTGGCCTCAGGATGTAATAGCGGTCACTCAGTCGGGTGGCTGTGGCCTCGGCTCCTGCATCGAAGCGGAACGCCTCTGGACCAAGTTTGGTGGCTGTAGACAGAAAAAAACATTACAGTTGATATACTTCTCCTGGTCTTACTGTGAAAGAAAAATGTAAACCACATGACTTATTCTGACACGTACTGCCCGCTTTTTACAATCTAATCCATTTCCTAAGGATAAAGTCAAGTCCTACAATTTGTAGACATTGTAACATTGTCATTGACATTGTTGTAACATTACAAATTCAGTCACATCTGCTCTGGTTTAATTGCCTTCAAATGGCATCACTGTTCTTTAGAGCTTTCAGTCCAAAAGTGCACTCATTTGGAGAAATATTGCTATATTTATACGTTTACTTATTTCGTCAGCCGAATGATCACAATGAAACTACTTTTCTAGCTTATTAATTTACTTTTCATGTTTGCATCACAGATTTCTAATTAAGTTGTAGAGCTGCACAATAATGCTTAAACGGTTAATCAAGATTATTTTGCTCAAAAAAAGAATCATGATTATAATTTTTTTTTTTTTTTTGCATTTCATCAGAATTATCGCACTTCTTCCATAAGCATAAATCAAGAACTTCTATGTCAAATCAAGAATTTACGTGTTTGCCTGTGTTTTCATCTCACAGACAATGTTTCATCTACATTGCATTTTCCACAATGTAGAGAGAGCATGTGCACATGGTTGCCAGGTTGGGAAGCTTAAGTAAACCACTGGGCAGAAAATGTATCTATGAAAGCCCATTTCCACCAAGTAAGGAAAAAAATAATGCTTTGGTAAGCCATAATTATACATTTAAAAATCATTACAATGAGATGAAATGTTTAAATTATGACATAAAAAGTTGTGTAGCGTCTGCGTAGGATCATGCATGATAGTTGGACTGTTTATGGCTTAAAAGACCCCTTTTAGCCTTTTGACATTTGCATATAAATTACAGTTCTGGTCAGGAACTTTACGTTCGTATAGGGGTGTAAATTGCCAAATGGTTCTTCGCCGTCAAGTAAGATTAGAACCAGCCCCACGAGCATCCTGCAATCTGATTTCAAACACATTCATTATGACATACTAAGTCATAATTAGGGATAGAAAGTCAAAATTTACATACTAAGTTGAAATTACATTTACATTTAGTCACTTAGCAGATGCTTTTATCCAAAGCGACTTACAGATGATGACAATAGAAGCAATCAAAATCAACAAAAGAGCAATGATACACAAGTGCTATAACAAGTCTCAGTTAGCTTAACGCAGTACACGTAGCAAGTTTTTTTTTTATTATATAATAAATAAAAAGAAAACAGATAGAATAGAAAAAGAATAGAGTAAGCTAGTGTTAGAGGCCTTTTTTGCTTTTGTTAATTCTATAATAAATAAAAAGAAAACAAATAAATGGAATACAAAAAGATTAGAAAAGCTAGAGTTAGTTTTTTTTAGTACATGAATAGAGTGCAAGTCTAAAAGTGACAAGTTTTTTTTTTTAAGAATAGAATTAGAAAAGAGAGTGCTAGAGTTAGAGGGTCAAGGGTTTTTAGCCAATTATTGAAGATGGCTAAGGACTCAGCTGCTCTGATTGAGTTGGGCAGGTCATTCCACCAGGAGGGAACAGTTAATGAAATAAAGCATCGTTCACTTGCAGAACGCAAGCTTCTAGAGGCACATAACTCTGAAGTAATGAATTTAGGTAAAGGGGTGCAGAGCCAGTGGTGGTTTTGTAGGCAAACATTAATGCCTTGAATTTTATGCAAGCAGCTATTTGTAGCCAGTGCAAATTGATGAACAGAGGTGTGGCGTGCATTCTTTTCGGCTCATTAAAAATGTATCTTGCTGCAGCGTTCTGGATTAATTGTAAAGACCTGCCAAGAGAGCATTGCAATAGTCCAGCCTGGACAGAACAAGAGCTTGAACAAGGAGTTGTGAAGCATGTTTCGAAAGAAATTGCCTGATCTTCTTGATGTTGAATAAAGCAAATCTGCAGATTTTAGCAATGTGGTCTGAGAAAGTTAGCTGATCATTAATCAAAACTCCAAGGTTTCTGGCTGTTTTTGAAGGAGTTATGGTTGATGTGCCTAGCTGGAAGGTGAAATTGTGATGAAACGATGGGTTTGATGGAACCATAAGCAGTTCTGTCTTGGCAAGGTTGAGATGAAGGTGATGGTCCTTCATCCAGCAAGAAATGTCTGTTAGACAAGTTGAGATGCGAGCGGCTATTGTCGGATCATCAGGGTGGAATGAGAGGTAGAGTTGAGTGTCATCAGCATAGCAGTGATATGAAAAACCATGTTTCTAAATGACAGAACCTAGTGATGCCATGTAGACACAGAAGAGAAGTGGTCCAAGAACAGAGCACTGAGGCACCCCAGTAGTTAGATTAAATTATGAGATAAAAAGACAAAAATGACTATTTACCTCATATTTCTGAATTTTTATCTCATAATTATGACATAGTATGTCATAATTTAAACTTGTAAAGTCCGAATTTTGATGTTAAAAATCTCAATTATGAGATAGTAGGAATTTAAAAGTTTAAATTGACATACTAAGTCATAATGAGATGAAAAAAATGAATTTTCATAATTTCGTAATGTCATTGTTTTCCTCCTAATTATGAGTTTTAGGTCATCATTTCGACTTATAAAGTCATAATTGTCACTTTTCATCAATAATTATGATGTACCAAAGCATGTTTTTTTAAATCTTACATGGAGGAAATGGGCTTCCATATGCATCAATTTAAGAGAAAAGCTCTGATTGGGGGATTTAAGCTCTTGAAATCTGGCAACCACAACCATGAAAGCTCGTGGAGGATTGATACCAATGCAAATGCAAAATTAAAATGAAACATTTTCAGTAGGCTATAAATAATCATCAGCCAAATATCACAGTCGATTTTGCTTAATAAATTGAAAGAAGCAGAAATCATGATCATGATTAAATGAATTCACCAGGGTTTATTAAGTTGGTTTTAATTTTTTGTGACTCTGCAATTCACATTGTCAATGTTTTAATCGCTGGATGTTGTCAAATCACTGTATTTCTGGTTGCCTTTAACATCATTCATCTTTGTCATGTTTAGTAGTTATCTATTTAGTTGATTTTATGTTTGCTTTGTGATTTCTAAAATTATTTTTATTATTATTATTATTTTTATATTGATTATTATTTTCTTAGTATTTGTACTAGTTTTAGTAATTGTAATACACTTCACTAATTTTACTGTGTGTGTGTGTGTGTGTGTGTGCATCTATAAAGTTAAATTTTTTATTTTAGTACATCAAGTTAACTTGAAAAAAAAAATTAAAATGAAATTAAAATGAGAAACGTCACCTTGCTGAAATATAATAATTATATTTTATAATTCAGTTTATTCAATTTCAAGTAATGACAATGTTTTGAATAGTTAGTTCTAATAGCTTCACTTTTAATTTGAGTTAACTATAATAACCTTAGTACAATACGTGCAAGACTATACATGCATTTAAATACTTCAATTTTAAAAAATATTCAAATATAACCATTTTCACTTTAATCATTTTTTGCATTTTGGAAATGAGAATTTGGGGGGTGAAAATATCTTTGCTTCATTTTCCTGCTGTATATAATGCTAATTTGTCATTTGACTCTTTTGATTTTGGTGTAAAATCTGACCCGGGCATCTTCTCAGCGGGATTCATTCATATCCTGCTCATGCCCTGCGGCTCTGAGGATCTTATTTTACGAGAGACGTGAGGTCAGAAATAGTGTGTTGAGACTAGATCAAACGTGGTATTTATCGCTCGTCCTCCACTCCAGCTAAATCTGCAGCGTCTGGATCCTCCTGACGAGAGCGCTGTGAAGAGCTATTTCTGATCTGACGCAGGTTAGGCTTCATCTCATCTGTTTGCTTCTGATGTCTGAGAAAGCAACAGTTTGAGTCTGTGATTATCCAGCAGAGTAATGGCCTTCCTCTATCTGAGTGCCAGCAGATTGGATTTTCAGAAACACAGGCGCGCTGGAAGCATGAGCAGAAAGATAAGACAAAGGATGTTTCTGAAGCTGCCGTCCTCTCAGATCACAGGAGCTGTTTTCTGAATCACCCTCTGTCTGACTTCACACCACCGTTATTTTAACATGATTTATATATTGTTATATGATTTATTAATATAGTAACACTTTATTTTAAGGACCAATTCTCACTATTAACTTGTTGTTAATAAAAGCACATATTAATGCCTTATTCTGCATGACCATATTTTAGATCCCTCAATACTGGTGTTTACGTTGTTTGCGCTTTGATCTGAATGTAAACAACGTATTCGAGTACATACATTGAATACGTTGTTTACGTATGTGATACTTTCCAAAATGGCACTATAGGGTGACGCGGAGGAGACGAATTGTTGAATAAAGTCGTTATTTCTGTTTTCTTTGCACACAAAAAGTATTCTCGTAGCTTCGTAAAGTTACGGTTAAACCACTGATGTCACATGGATTATTTTACTGATGCCCTTGCTATGTTTCTGAGCTTTGATCGTGGTAGTAACCTTGCTGTCTATGGAGGGTCAGACAGCTCTCGGATTTCATTAAAAATATCATCTTTTTTTTTTTATCCCGAAGATGAACGAAGTTCTATCCCTTTAAGTACTAAAATCACAAAAAATAAAAAGTAAATAGAAATATTAATTAAAACAACAACAAAACTAAATGACTTAAAACTAAAATTAGAATAAAAACAGAAAATATAAAAAAGTCGTTATTTCTGTTTTCTTTGCACACAAAAACTATTCTTGTAACTTCGTAAAGTTACGGTTAAACCACTGATGTCACATGGATTATTTTACTGATGCCCTTGCTATGTTTCTGAGCTTTGATCGTGGTAGTAACCTTGCTGTCTATGGAGGGTCAGACAGCTCTCGGATTTCATTAAAAATATCATCTTTTTTTTTTATCCCGAAGATGAACGAAGTTCTATCCCTTTAAGTACTAAAATCACAAAAAATAAAAAGTAAATAGAAATATTAATTAAAACAACAACAAAACTAAATGACTTAAAACTAAAATTAGAATAAAAACAGAAAATATAAAAAAATACAAATTAAGTACTAAAATTTTATTACTAAAATACTAGTACTAAAATACTAAAATTGGGGGGTAAAATGAAACAAAAAAATATAAAAATGACACAAAAACAACAAAATTACTCAAATTTAAACAAATTAAAATATAACGCTAAATTCGACTGATTAATAAATACTGTAATGGTATTAATGATGCTAAAATAACATTAGTATGTAGTTGAAAGGATTTTAAAGAGCTGACTCAGGTGCACAGAGCCCAGAGATGGAGGGATGTTCTGACCTGAGCGGCTGTAGGACTCGTGGCAGGTGTGAGTGATTTCCGCGGCCAGGTCCAAGTAATGCTGCCTCTGTCCTGCCGGCCCGTCGTCAGCGCCGATGCCGATCATCCCGCCGGAGAAACAGGCCAGATGCCCCATCTTATGGTCCAGGATTCCTCCTCGCCACTCGGCCACGTACGTCAGGCCACCCGGAGACTTCTGCACCAGGTTCGTCTCGATGGCCTGCAAACACACAGCGAGATCAGTCTGCTAAATATTGGGATAGACTGATTGCAAAAACCTGCTTTAGGAATTGCTTTGAAATTGCCAGTAAATTACTGCAAGTAACGCACTGAATTAAACATGGAATTCTGAATTAAAGACTATAGCTGCCTTCCAAATGACACACTATACACTCATACACTACGTACTTATGCACTATGTACTCAACCATGTAGTGTATGAATTATATAAGGTTATTCTGTCATTCATAATTGGAGTCTGATAGCCCCTCCCCCTTCGCTATGTAATTAAAGCTGCGACAGTTGAGTACATGAAGTGTCCAACATTCCACTCTTAATTTTTTCGGTTATTTAAGTGCATCATCCGGGTATTTAAAGTGCACTTTTTCGTTTTGGAATTTCCAGTGTGAACGCACTACTCGCACCATTTATACTACAAAACGTCATAGAATAGTGCATAAGTATGCGATTGGGACGGACCTTATGTCTTAAAACATACTATTTAAGAGTCAAATCACTTACTAACTAAACAGCAACACCCTCCAATAAACATTATTTATATACTGCTATAGTAGTTATTAATATTTGAAATTAGCTTTTATTATTATATTTTCAGCTTAGTGTTACTAATTTAGTAAATAAAATGCCATTTTTACTAGTTTTCATATATAGCTTTCGTTTAGTTTTTATTTCTGTTTTAATTTGAGTACTTCAACTTATTTTAGTTCTAATTTTCCTTGTTTTTTTGTTTAATAAATGTTTTTTATTCCAGCTTCAATTAACATTTATATTTCTTTTTATTTATTTTTATTTCTGTTGTAATAATTTTAGTATTTAAACTAAATAAAAATTAGAAACATTTGCTTGGAAACTAACAGAAATAAAAAAAGTTTGCTTTTATTTATTTATTTATTTTATTTATTTCAGTTAATGCTTAGAATAATAAAAAAAAATGATAGGTTTAGTTTTAGTTAACGATAACAATGCTCTGTCCTACAATTTATATTATTAAACTTAATTTACATTAAGGAGACAGTACAAAGTATAACAATAATTTGATTTAAATTCATGTCACAGTGTTGTTAGTCAACTAAAATAATAATAAAAATAATAATATATGTATGTATGTTAGATGAAAGACTTAAAATTTCATTTAAAAATGTTAATGAAAATTAGAAATGTTTAATTGCAAACTAACTGAAATAAGTTTAATTTGAACTAGTAACAATACTAAAACTTTAAAATAAATTCAAGCTATATAGAAATAAAAAATAATACAAATTGCAAAAGCATATAAATTTACTAAAACTAAACTGAAAATATAATAATAAAAACTAATATAAATATAAATGGTCACACTTTAGTTTAAGGACTAATTCTGACTATATTAACTATGCCTTTTGCCTCAAACTCCTAATTGGTTGCTTATTAATAGTTAGTAAGGCAGTTGTTAAGTTTAGGTATGGGGATCTAAAATATGGTCATGCAAAATAAGGTAGGAACTTATAAACAGCCAATATGCTAGAAATATGCATGCTAATAAACAACTAGTTAATAGTGAGAATTGGTCCTTAAAATACAGTGTTACCATATTAATAAATTATGTAACAGTATATAAATAATGATAAAATAACACTGATCAAACGGAAGTTTAGTTGGTAAGTGATTTGACTCTTATTAAATAGCTGAAAGGCAGCTTCCCCAGAAACATCCCTTTGTCTTCTCTTTGTCCTCATGCTTCGCTGGATAATCACAGCCTCAGACTGTTGCTTTCTCAGACGGCAGAAGCAAACAGATGAGATGAAGCCTAACCTGCTTCAGATCAGAAATAGCACACAGCGCACAGTTCTTCACAGCGCTCTCATCAGGACAATCCAAACGCTACAGATTTAGCAAACATCATGTTTGATCTCATCTCTACATTTCTGACCTCACGTCTCTCTTAAAATAAAATCCAGAGCTGATGAACAACAGATGAATGAAACCTGCTGAGAACATGCCGGGTCAGATTTTATACCAAAATCTAAAGAGACAAATGAGGAATTATATATAACAAGAAAATGAAGCACAGATATTTTCACCCCCAAATCCTCATTTCCAAAATGCAAAAAAAAAAAAAAAAAGATATTAATATGAAAAAAGTATTATAATTTAAATATTATTTCAATTTTGACGTATTTATACTTCATAGTATTTGTTGTACCATGGCTATTATAATTAACTAAGACTGAAAATTAAAATTAAAACCATTAAAAAACATTTTCATTACTTGAAATAAAATAATCGTTAACTGAAGTCAAATAAAATATAAAAAATATAATTAGCTAAAATGTAAGATATAATAATATACATATAATTTAGTTTAACTTGATGTACTAAAAAAGTAAAATAATAAAAATAATAAACTAAAAAACACCAAGTTGTTGTACAAAAAAAGTAAAATTAAACTAAACCTTAAAAATAAAGTAATGCTATATAGAAATGTAAAAAAAGTTGATAAAAATGACAAAAGCACATAATAAACTTACGAAGACTTAAACTAAACTGAAAATATAACCCAAGCTATATACAGTATATATATATATATTTATATATATATATATAAACACTAAAAATGACAAAACACAACAAAATGACAAAATATCTAAAAATAAAAGCATTAAAAAACTATAATGGTATCTCATAAAATAACACTGTCGTTTCATTATGTATGGATTACATGATCTACTGCAGTAGAAAAGTGCACTGTATTAAAATAACGTGACTCTAATTTGAAAATAATGTGAATTAATTATGGTAATGAAAATTTTATGAGAAAAAATTGTATATAATCGTAATGGTCCTAATTTTTAATGCAAAATATCATTTCTTAATTTATTCCTTTTGATTTTGTAGTTAAATATGATCATGAGATTGATTGATTTATTCTTTTTTATTTTTATGTGAGGCGTTGCACTTCAAGTCTACGGTATCTCAAAACTATAATATGCCCCACTGTGTCGTGAAGCTGAAAAAAACTGTTATATTAAGACTGCTTTTGTGCTCCAGGGTCACATATGATGTCTAGGCTACTTTCTGACGCCTCTACGTCTAGTTTTGACGTCCATCATCACACCCTGATGATCTCAGCAGGTTTCATGACATTCATCCTGTTTATCTCTGAACCAGAAGCATAAGCAAATGCTTTCTATTGATATGCACACGGTTTATTGTGTTCGGTTCACAGATGATCTCTTTCTGACCTGAGCGGCTGTAGGACTCGTGGCAGGTGTGAGTGATTTCCGCGGCCAGGTCCAAGTAATGCTGCCTCTGTCCTGCCGGCCCGTCGTCAGCGCCGATGCCGATCATCCCGCCGGAGAAACAGGCCAGATGCCCCATCTTATGGTCCAGGATTCCTCCTCGCCACTCGGCCACGTACGTCAGGCCACCCGGAGACTTCTGCACCAGGTTCGTCTCGATGGCCTGCAAACACACAGCGAGATCAGTCTGCTAAATATTGGGATAGACTGATTGCAAAAACCTGCTTTAGGAATTGCTTTGAAATTGCCAGTAAATTACTGCAAGTAACGCACTGAATTAAACATGGAATTCTGAATTAAAGACTATAGCTGCCTTCCAAATGACACACTATACACTCATACACTACGTACTTATGCACTATGTACTCAACCATGTAGTGTATGAATTATATAAGGTTATTCTGTCATTCATAATTGGAGTCTGATAGCCCCTCCCCCTTCGCTATGTAATTAAAGCTGCGACAGTTGAGTACATGAAGTGTCCAACATTCCACTCTTAATTTTTTCGGTTATTTAAGTGCATCATCCGGGTATTTAAAGTGCACTTTTTCGTTTTGGAATTTCCAGTGTGAACGCACTACTCGCACCATTTATACTACAAAACGTCATAGAATAGTGCATAAGTATGCGATTGGGACGGACCTTATGTCTTAAAACATACTATTTAAGAGTCAAATCACTTACTAACTAAACAGCAACACCCTCCAATAAACATTATTTATATACTGCTATAGTAGTTATTAATATTTGAAATTAGCTTTTATTATTATATTTTCAGCTTAGTGTTACTAATTTAGTAAATAAAATGCCATTTTTACTAGTTTTCATATATAGCTTTCGTTTAGTTTTTATTTCTGTTTTAATTTGAGTACTTCAACTTATTTTAGTTCTAATTTTCCTTGTTTTTTTGTTTAATAAATGTTTTTTATTCCAGCTTCAATTAACGAAAATCTTTTTAAAGTTTTAATAAGATGCAAATTTGCAAAAAACTTTTGCAAAAAATCACTAACTAAACGGCAAGCTTTTATTATTATATTTTCAGTTTAGTTTAGGCTTTAGTTTAAGTTTTTGCCATTTTATAATTTTTTTCATATTTCTATATAGCTCAAATTTATTTCAGCTTTAGTAATTTTAGTACTTCAACTTATTTTAGTTAGTTGCCCCGGCAACATTTCTAATTTAAGTTTTTCGTCTAATATTTTTCTTATTCTAGCTTCAATTAACAAATTTTTTTTTTTTAAATAAATAAAACTTTTGAAGAAGAAATGCATAAATAGTATTTTCTTTTATTAAATACTATTATAAATACTATTCATAATAGTATTTTCTTTTAAACATTTTTTTTAAATTTTAGTTTAATTTGAGCAATTTAATACTTTAACTTTACAATTGTAATGTTCATTTATTTATTTTTAGTTTAAGTTTTTCATGCAATATTTTCTATTTTATTTCAACTTTACATCAATTAATTAATACTTTTTAATAGGTTTTCTAAAACAGAAATTTTGAAGTACAAAGACTGACAGTATTTTATTTTTTTTATATATTTTGTAAAGCATACCTTTTCAACTTCATAAAAATAATCTTTAACAGTGTAGTGGTGAATTTCAGCTTCCAGCTCTTTCTGAAAGCATATCTGAGTGATGGAGCCTGAGATGCTCAGAACAATGCGCACACGCTGAAGATAATGCAGCTATTAATCGCAGCCGCATGCGGTTCCTATGAAACACAGAGGGCTGGACATGTTTTGTGTGAGAGTGAAGAAACATCTGCTTGCTTTGTAAAGTGCTTTGAAATGAAGGCGACGCTGGATTTCAATAAAGCACATATGAAAGCAGGACGGTGTGCACATATTGCTGTAGGAGGTGACGTTTATGCATGACATGTTTTATGTATAGTATAAGACCGTATGCAGCGTGGAGAATTGCAGTCAAGCCTCATTGAGATTCTATCGGGACTTTGAGACTCGAAGGTGTATAAATCTGCCAAAGACTATATGAGAAAACATCTCCGAGTATCTTCCTCTGCGTTTTTATGCTTGCACCTCTTTAGAGAAGCAGAAAACAGCGCAAACCATCACGGACGATCAATAGCGAATGACTCATCGTTTGGTTTTGTTCTGCTTTTCCACACAAAACTCATTCAGATGGTTTTTCTTAGCGTGCATCACAGGTTTCTGCATTTTTGCATCATCAAATGTAAACAACCCACTTCAAGTCAACGTGAAATCAAAATCAGAGCAAATGCATGACTATCGAGACAAACATCAAATATTATATCGGTTGCAAACATTTAAAAGCATTGCACAAAGGACTGGATATTTGATGAAATTGGCCTCTCCTGATTATAATTGTAATGAATATCTTGGCAGACCTCGTTCTTCAAGGGAAACAATAGGTAATGAAAAAGCTAATATGCTAATTAAGTGAGAATAAGGGAGAACGTGTTCGCTCTGTTATATTTCTCCTCTCGGATCATTATGAGCGCGAGGCTTGAGGTGAAACTAATCTTAAACTAATCTAATCAAGCTTAAATTAAGGCATGCAATCTATTTTACACACTTACCGCCTGTGCAGTCGCTCATTTCTACTTCTTTATTTTTACTGAACATACCGAAGACTAGAAACAGCATGTGCAACTAAATAGCAAGGAAAGTGAGTTGTATGAATGCTGTTTGTGTACCTCCATGGCGCTGTAGTACATCTTCTGGGCCTCCTGATCCGTCTTGTCTGACATCAGGTAGGATTTGATCAGGTACTCGTAGAAACTGTCCCCAAGACCTCCGATAGACACGTGATCTGAGAAAACCAGAGGAAAACAACGTCTGAATCACACAAACCATGTAAACCACAAGAAAATATGCGCAGGATGTATTTGACTTCAAAACTCATGATAAAACGTTCTGAACGAAGAATATGAAGCCTAATTTTAGGAGCAATAAGATTTGAACAAAAATAAGTCAACATAGAGGAAAAAAAATACACATAAAAACATTTGTGTACACACACACACACACACACACACACACACACACGCGTGCACACTCGCACACTCACTCACTCACTCACTCTCACACACACACACACACACACTCTCACACACACACACACACGCATGCTCACACACACACACACACACACACACACACACACGCGTGCACACTCGCACACTCACTCACTCACTCACTCTCACACACACACACACACACACTCTCACACACACACACACACGCATGCTCACACACACACTCTCACACACAGACCAACACACGCACATTTCTCTCACACACACACACACGCACGCACGCACACACACGCACACTCTCACACACACACACATGCTCACACACGCTCACACACACACACACCAACGCACACACACAGACCAACACACGCACATCTCTCTCTCTCTCTCACACACACACACACATAATTTATTATAATAAAAAATATATACTATTATTATATACTTTATTAATTTACAATATATAAATGATTAATGAATGAATTATACTATATATCTTTTTATTTTTAAATATAATTGTGCATTTCCATCCTTTGATTTTTTTGCTTTTGAGGTTAAATGCCCCCCAAATGTTTTCTCAGCAGGTTTCATGCCATTCATTCGGTTTATTCTTGGGATCATAATCAGGATCATAAGCGAATGCTTCCTATTAATATGCACACCCTTCATTGTGCTGGGCTCCCGGATGATCCGGGTTCTGTAATCGGAGTCAACAAACACAATGGCAGGAATGTTGGTATCCGCCCTGCGCTCTATTGACATGTAAATCATCACTATCACTGACACTCGTTAGCAATTAGCACTGCAGTCGCAGATTACATTCAGCCCGCTCAAGAAAAAAAAACACTTTCTCCTGTGTTTCAGGTGAATCGGAAAGATTCCATTTCCAGAAGGTAATGGGATTTATTATCATTTTAATAACTCTTGGCTGTGGGCTCATGTCCCTGCTTGGCTCAGTCCGTGTCATGCGTGCCAGAGTAATTGCACTGTGAATCTCAAAGACGCAGCAGAGAGAAATCAAGAACAAATAATAACAAAAATAAATGTATCTACACCAGCAGTCAAAAGTCTGGATATCCTCCAGTGAATTTATGCTCTTCACGAACTTAATTCTATTCCAGTCTGCTTAAAACATAGAAAGCAGCTTTGCAGACAATTACAAATGGAACCTGTGAGACACAACAAAATAATACATCTGTACAAGTCTGAAGATGTTTTTTTTTCACTGACATTCATTTTGTTCTGCAAACTTTATGAGAATGGCAAAACATCTGGCATTAAACCAAAAAACAGTTTCAGACCTTCACATGCTTAAAGTCTGTGTGCACAAAAATCAGCTTTTCCCACATAGTAAGAAGAGCCGTCGTTAGCTAAATTATTTCATCTCTCACACCTTGCATATCTATTTATTAAATATTTTGGCTATTATCATAATTCAGTCAATAAATTCACACCAAATTTGCATTCTGTATATTTTGCATTAATAAAAAAGCCTATTTTTTGAGTTAAGATATTTTTGCATTGCATGTTGATATGTCTTGCTACAACGTCCTGTTTTAACATCAGCAGAGGAAAGAAAACTGCACTAATAAAGCTAATATATTTGGCACACACATGATTATTTTTTTTTATAGTACATACATATATTTAGAATTATATAAAATATATTTCGAATTTAATAATAGCACTTAATATTTATTTATAGTAAAATATTTAAATAAAATAAATATACAATTATATAATCACACACACACACAATTTAATTTTTTTAATATAACATTTTAATATTTATAGTAAAAAGTATGTTTATTTTTAGAATTATATTATAAATCTCAGCATAAATAGAAATATGATCATATTTATTTAAAGTAATACTTATAACTGCATATATGTGTTATAATAGTATTATTATAATTATATTAATCTTATACTAATTGTATTATCATTATGATAACTATTTTGGTATTTATTCACAGTATTATATATTTGATAATTATATAATAAGTTATTTTAATCATAATAAATCTTATCAATATATTTTTATTTTATGCCATAATAAATAATAAATTAGATAAATGAAAATAGTTATTATATATATATATATATATATATATATGTTATCATATTATTGTAATAGCTATTTATTTATTGTACTTATGAATATTTTATAATTATATAATAATTAATATTTTTTTATTATAATAAATCTTATTAACACACACACACACACACACACACACACACACACACATATATATAAAAGTAGTGTAGTTCCTGCTGGTATCAAATGATTTGAATTTCTTGTATTTCTCATTTGGACGTTTTGTCTAAAGGTGTCTGCTAAATGAAGAAATGTGTTACTTACGCTGTACCCAGTTGCCGCTGACGGGACTCAGGAAGTTGGGATACAGACCGTGAGGCTTCTCGATTTTGTTCAGCAGCTTTCGGATGTTCATCACCTAAAGAAAAACACAAATCATAGGGTTAATTCACGACCCGTATCCCGTCCTCTCAGCGTGAATCATCAGGACGTAAAGGACTCTTGCCTTCTCAGTGAACAGGGGGCTTCCAGACAGTTGGGACAGGTGAAGGAACTCCAGGTGCAGCGTGCCAAACTCGGCCAGGATGCTGCTGCCGGCCGATGCCCAGCCCCAACTCCAGCTGGTGCCACTGCAACAGAGAGCAGAGCCGCTCCGTGAACACAGAGCAGATCAGCACACGCTTTAACACACACCTGCTAAAAGCCTTCGCTGCATCCCACACGAGAGACTTACACAATGCTCATCCATAATGATGCCATTAATGATTCTACTGAAGAACAACAATACAAATACAGGCTTAGAAATAGAATTTATTGCACCTGGGAGTATCTCGGGTGCTTTGCACCAAAAATCCAAAGCATTCTTCTACCATAACGGTTGCACCGATTTGACATCGATACCACCAAAAGATGCATTTACACAGAGGAAACAAATATCTTCATGAAAACAACTAAAAATAACATGCATTTATTTTATTAAGGTGTTAAATATGCAGTTGAGATTAGAAAACTATATTTTTAATCAGTCATTTTTGTCATTCTTAACATCTTTAAAACAAGACAAAACAGCAAACTGCACAAGATATTAGGATTTGCTTATGGAAAAAATTTTTGGAATGGAATTAAGTTTATTTTCCTTTTTCCATTGATTCTTTGTTGACGTTTATTCATATTGTAAAACAAGACAAAAATAATTTTTTTGTAAAATAAAATAAATAAAAATGTCTGATTAAAATATTTTTATAGTGTATTTGTCTGTTTCAGTGTTATTGAAGATACTGTTATAGTTTTTATTAATATTTTTAAATCAGTTTTTATTTTTATATATATATTTTTTGTAATTTTGTTTATATATATATATATATATATATTTTTTTTTTTTACACACACACACACACACACACACACAGACACACACACATAACACACACACACAGACACACACACACACACACACACACACACAGACACACACACATAACACACACACACAGACACACACACACACACACACACACACACAGACACACACACATAACACACACACACACACACACACACACACACACAATTTTTATTCATTTTAATTCCAGTTTCAGTTATAGTTATTTTAGTACATCAAGTTAAAATAAAATAAAATATATAAAATTAGAAGTTTTGCTTCTTGTGCAAATTGATCCTTTAAACATGAGATATTTTTACCTGAAAACAAGATGAAATTAGAAATTATTTATGTTGTGCATTTGTCTGTATGCAACAAAATACAGTGAGGTTTTTACTACAAACTTTTGCTTCCCATGCAAATGGATCTTTTAAAGAAACTATGCATTTTTACTGGGAAAAAATGGTCAAAAATGTCTAATTATAAATAATTTTTTGTAGTGTATTTGCATGTATGCAATAAATAATACTGATGTTTATGCTACAAAGTTTTGTTTCTTGTGCAAATTGATCTTTTAAGGAGGTTTATATATTTTTACAAAAAAAATGTTTTAGTGTATTTGTCGGTATGCAATAAAATATACTGAGGCTTATGCTACCGATTTTTGATTCTCTTGTAGCGTATTTTTCTGCATTCAACAAAATGTATTGAGGTTTATGCTACAAAGTTTTGCTTCCCATGCAAATTGATCTTTTAATGATATTTACTGTATATATTTTTACAGGAAAAGTTGCTTTTCAAAAATACTGATTAAAATGATTTCTATTGTTTATATGTCTTTATACAATAAAATACAGTGAGGGTTATGTTACAACATTTTCATCTTTTGCAAATTGACCTTTTAAGGATTTTTAGATATTCTTTACTGGAAAACAAAAAAACTACTAATTTAAAAAAATTATGTTTGCAGTGTATTTGTCAGTATGCAATAAAATATACCGAGGCTTGTGCTACCAATTTTTGCTTCTCATGCAAATTAATCTTTTGACAATGTTTAGCTATCTTTACTGGAAAACAAGACAAAAATACTGATTAAAAATGATTTTTGTAGTGTTATGGTCTGTATGTAACTATGTAAATATTTTAAGAGCAGTTTGAACAGCACACCCAGAGCATTTTATCCTTTGTTTTGATTAAATGGCATTAAAATTTCATCTGTTGTTCAAAACGGAGACGCTTCTGCTTGTGTTAACGCTGCAGGTCTCACCCCTGCCGAATGGGGGAAAAACTGAAGAGAGAAACTGAATGAACTCTGAAATGAACCGCTCCAGATCTGGGCTTCGCTCCTCCCTGCAGGATTGCTTCGGTGAAACTGTGGAACTAATTCACAAGATTATTTGTGTCTGGTTCTTATTGTGAGAGCGAGCCACGCACCGCTTCCCTTCTGAAGCAACGATCAATAGCACTGACGTCTCGGGAGGAAGAGGAAAGTGAGAAAAGTTTCGGTGGAAAAAACAACCGAAACCGGCACAAAACAACTAAGAGTTTGTTAAAAAAAAAGGCAGAGAGAGTTCACTGGTGGGAGAAATGACTTAAAGCCCATTTAATCAGTCTTTGCTGGTGTTAAAAAACAGAAGCGGAGCAGATGCTTCTATTTAAAAAACATTATAAAGTCATTTTTGAAGACAATTATTGCACATTTACTTGAAATATGCATGTGACGCTACATTGGAATTTGACCAATAATAATCTATAATTAAATATTATGTATGTAAATAAATATTAAGTACTATTATTAAACTATAAATATATTTGATATACTTCTAAACATATTTTTGTACTATAAATAGATATTAAATCAAGTGTGTGTGTGCCAGATATATCATCTGGATTATCAAAATAGTAAGCATTAGTAACAAAATAGTAACAGTTTTCAACATTGATAATAATCAGAAATGTTTCTTGAGCAGCAAATCAGTATATTAGAGTGATTTCTGAAGATCATGTGACACTGAAGACTGGAGGAATGATGCTGAAAATACAGCTGCGCATCACAGAAATACATTACATCTGAACATATATTCACATAGAAAACAGATATTTTAAATTATAATAATATTTCCCATTTTTACAGTTTTTACTGTATTTTTAATCAAATAAATGTAGCCTTGGTGAGCAGAAGAGACTTATTTCAAAAGCATGACACTGACCAGCAGCGTAAACGTCATAATAAGAGCGTGCTGGCAGTGACGTGTGTTCGTTCTGTGTCATCACGACTAACCTGAGCCCTCTTTCTCTCAGCCCATCTGCGGGACCGGCTCCTGTTACTCATCTAACTGGAATTAGCGTGAGAATCAGTTAATTAAATTTGCCTGCAGCTGTCAGAGCGAGCTGGTGGGCTAACGGAAGCCAGGTGGGCAGGCAGGAGTGCCAGAAAGCGTCTCTTTCTCTCAGAAAGCCTACTATTTGAGACACATGGCTTTGCGAATGGGACGGTCGAAGCTGCGTCAGATGCTCACCTGCCCAGGTTAATGACTCCTCTGGGAATGCCGGTGGGCGTGTTGAAGGCGGGTAACAACTTCTCGCCCAGCTCCATCACCTTCTGCTTAAATATCTGCAAAAAACAAACCAGAAGAGTAAACGGTTAACAACTAGGATACACATCTATGAAGTTGTTTCCTCACATGCATACACTTCCTCAACTCTCATGCATTTAAAGAGCCCATATTCTACACGTTTGCTGCATTTTCCTCCCATGCAATCCATCAAAAACAGTCAGATAACAGTCAGAGTTCAATGCATCGACTGATAAAAATTCTTCATCTATATTATGATTCACTGCTGCTTTTTGAAAGAAATTACTATTTTTATTCAGCAAGGATGCATTAAATTGGTCAAAAGTGACAGTAAAGACATTTATAATGTTACGAAAGATTTCTATTTCAAATAAATGCTGTTCTTTTGAACTTTTTGTTCAACAAAGAACCCTGAAAAATTGAATGTATCAGGGTTTCCACAAAAAATATTGGGCAGCACAACTGTTTTCATCATTGATAATAATCAGAAATGTTTCTTGAGCAACAAATCAGCATCTTAGAATGATTTCTGAAGATCATGTGACACTGAAGACTGGAGTAATGATGCTGAAAATACAGCTTTGATCACATGAAAAAAATATATTTTACAATATACTGACACTGATTTTACTGTATTTTTTTGCTTAAATAATTGCAGCTTGGTTGAGCATAAAAGACTTTGCTCAACTCAAACTTGTATTGCAAGTATGCAAAAAAATGCAATGATAAACATTTCAAATACACATTAGAGAGTCAAATTATCAGAATAATTAAACATAAATAAAAAAAAATTACAGTTTGTTTCAAAATAATATCTGCACTAATATTCGCACTAGAGCTTATTGTCCTTGTTATATTTCAAGTGCAACAGCAATATTTCTCAAATACACCCAAAATGGACTTTCAAACATCTTGAACCCAAACAAACCAGTTTAGCATCCATTAAGCACCAGCAGCTTCTGTGACAAGGTCATGTTCAAAACTGAATTAAACTTAACGTTGTGCAGCAGAATGAAACCAAGTGCAGAACACTGAGATCTCAAGACGTGTTTATAACGTTTATGACGGCAATAACACATAAAGACGGCTGGTGACAGAGATATTTCTCTCCAAGCTATTTTTAGTGGTGCTTGCTAAGGCAAACATCAATTTTATTGCTACGATTTAGGTTGAGGGATTTGAACAAACCTCTAAATCTAAGTATTAAACTTTAGAGTGTAACTCGTCCCATATCAGACTTATGATTTTCACCTGGTGGCCGATAAAACGGGTGTAAAAAGAATCCCATAGACTTGTACTGAAGGAGGCACAAGATCAGAATATCACAGGACTCTTCTCACTTGATATAGTAAAACCACATAGCAACCATTCAGAACACCTTAGCAACATGGTAGCAGCTTATTACGGTACAAGAAACACTGATGTTTGGCACCAAGATAAATCATATTTATCCAAGTTGTGATCGAGTTTGCAGTCTGTACTAAATATGATGCAATAAATGGACTCGCACAATAATGACAGAAAATGTCTTCCCATTGAGTCATGTAAACAAAAACAATATAGGATTTACAAACAAATCAAAAGAATCAGTGAGAGCAGTGGAGTCTGACTACTGAACGAATGATTCTTATGAGTCAGTTATTTTAATGAAGACTTTGATTCAGTCAGAAGAATCCTTCACTGAACTGAATCAGTTAGAATGAATCAACATCAATTAACTGCACTGAAGTTATCATTATTTTCAGTGAAGCAAGTTTTGCATCAGTATCAATATTCTCTCTATAGCTTTGTGTTGTTAAAGATGAAGATTTGCTGATATTCAACAGCACGGTTGCACTAAACTAAAGTAAAAACAGAACAGTGAAACACACACACACACAGTATGAGTAGGTGGTGTTTAGTTTCTGAATGAATCACAAATCGGTTAAGGAAATGATTCAATGACTCAATCATACAGAAGACATTTTGCATTGACATTGCATTGGCAACTAGCTGAAATAAAATAAGCTTTATATATACAGTGGTGTGAAAAAGTGTTGGCCCCCTTCACACTATAACTATATATAACAGACACATACATGTGGTTTTATGTATACAGTGTATGTGAGTATATATGGAGAGAAACATGAAGCATACATATGATGATACATACACACTTATGTTTTTTTGTCCTTATCTTAAAAACAAATCTGAGTTTGTGGATGGCCATTGAGTGCAGAGTTCTTGTCACCAGCAGAAGGTCAAACTTCAGCCTCCTCTGGGCTGTAGAGAGACATGCGGTGCCCTCTGCTAGAACGGGGGCAGCACATATCCTGCTTAATGCATTTGTGCAGCACGAAATGAGGGCTGAGATGAGAAGGACAGGAGAAGAGCAACCTGATTGGCCCCCTGCGCTCGTATCAGAGAGATCACTAATGACCCATAGCTGGAGACACCGACTCCAGCAGAATCACATCTGTGAGACTTCACCTGCCAGAATATAACACACTAACATATTAAAGGAATAGTGCAACCAGAAATTAAACTTCTGTCATTATTTACTTGCCCTCATGTCGTTGCAAATGCATGCAATTATAATACAGCTTCATAAAAGTATGATGATGTACACATATAACTTATGCAATACCCTGAAAAAAAAACTGATTTACTTTTTTTACTGATGTAGAAACTATTTTCACACAGAAATGACACAAATTAACAAATTTCACAAATAATAACAAAGAAACATCAACTAACAGTTAAATGTGAAATTTTAGGCAGAAAAATGAAGTAGTGTTTTCTTGTAAAACATACTCTAATCTTACTTTATACTACAACTTAGTCTTTATTTACAACTTTATTTTTTTTTCCAGCATAAAGGATGGATTATAAGCACTCCATACATATAATTTAGTACTATAAAATTCCCTAAAAATACTAAATATTACATAAAAACTTAGTAAATATAGTAGATTAATTTCATTGAAATAAAAAAACCACACAAGGAGCACCAGAGAATTAAAAATCTTCTAAAGCATTCAGATTCAAAGTGAACCTTTATTTTTATAGCTGAAATTTCAATATGTTCCTCATACAAAGTCACTATATGCATTCAGAAGACTTGAAATATAATGCATTCATCATATAGACTACTTTCATGGTGTATTTATGGTGCATATTTGTGATTTTTGGGCAAAAAAACTGTCAATGTGAGTAAATAATAACAGAAATTGCATTCTGGGTGAACTATTCTTTTAATTGCCATGGTATCCGACATAAGGATCCTGATTGTGGTGGGAAATGTGCAGTATTGATCCAGGACAGCAGCAGACAGTGCACACATTTCACTTTCAATCTGAACACAAAAAAACCCACAATCCTCTCCAGTGAAGACATGCAACTCCAAAAGAAACACAGAAATGGGCAAAGAAACCACAGCCTGGAGTTAATATTTCATTTTCATCTGAGGAAACACACTCAGGAGGGAAGGGCAGCTCTCAAGGTGAGCATGTGACCTTTGACCTCTGCGAGAAATGCAGCCCATCATCAGCATCTGCTCAATTCACTGTACCGCAGTAGAGACATTTTCTGCTTCATTTCAGGATGCCTATGAGCAGCTCAGCAACTGGAAATGACTTTTTAAAGGCCATTTACTGTCGAATAACATCAGATTGAAGGCTTCACCTCCAGAAAACAAACAGCGGTGGAAGATGAAGCCGTAAATGATCAGCTCCAGTGAGGAATGACTGATGCAACCCGCAAATTTATGTATTAGCTGAATAAACCAGAGGACCATGGGGCATCATATAGACACTGCAGCGCATGTAATTCTGCGGCTAATATAAAGACCAAAGCAGCTTCATGAAACGTCCACACTTTAATGATGTGGATCAAAGAAAATGGAAAATGCACCAAATAGAGTTGTTTATGGAGTGCTGACTTTGGTAATCAAAACCAACGATTGCTTTCTGACTTTATCAAGAGTTCATTTAAAAGCAATTCAGGTTGTCTGTGCAGGAGACAAGACAGAGACAACGCATTAATGCTGTTAAAAACTTCAGCTTGGGTTATTTCAACAGGGTCCTCACAGAAAATAGAAGGATTAGTATTAAGAATATATAAGAAATACTACATATAAAATACATTTGTATGACCTGACAGAATAATATAACTTAATATTTTAATAATAATAATAATAATTATCTATCATTGCAGTCAGCGGGTGTTGCCACTAATTACTATTTTTATTTCGGTTAATCTATCGACTAATTTATCGATTAATCGGTTTTCTGTTCATCCGTTAAAGTGCAACATAAAGTGCAAGAAGCTAGTGTCCATCTCATAGTCCAAATCACTGAAATCAAAGTTCAGTATTATAGTGTAAGAATGACAACATATCCACGTGTTCTAGTCTACTACTAATAAAAGTATATTCAAAAAACAATTTTTAAAGGAGTATTTACCAGAAATATTATTTACCAGAATTTATTTAGGAGAAAAATGTAAATGTGCAGTATTTCTGAAAAAAAAAAATATATATATATTTTTTAAATAATATCAATTAATTGGAGATGCTTTTGATTATTAAAATTGAATGGAACCATTAAAATGGAATACAGAAAATAATGGAAAACAGAATTTGGTAAAGATAAAACTGTAAAACTCAATTAATTAGACAGGCTTTTTGATTAATAAAATGTAATTTAACCATTAAAATGAAGTATAGAAAAATGAAAATGGAAAAAAATGAATTTGGAAATAAAACGGATTTCATAGGTCCCTATAATTATAATGAATTTTTTTTGTGGTAATAAAAATAGATGTAAGCGAACAATAGCCTTTAAAATTACTTAAAATACATATATAATAGCAATGAGGCAATAATAATAAGTTCAAATAAAGTATCAAAAGCAAGAAATCATATGGTTTTATTGAACAAAATTGTTAAAATACATAATGTATTATAAACAATAGAGCTAATGTACATTACGCATTACAACAAAGGCCTGCAGGGGGCGCCAACGGCCTGAAGATTGTTTTTACACATTGCTGTGCGATT